GTTAAAAACATGGGTAGTATGATCTAAAAATAGTCAGTATTACACGGAAAACGCCTATGGAGTTTTTTGTAAAAAGAACCTTCGAGAAAAAGAAGAAAAATTTAGGGGAGTTTAAGAGGTTTTTTAAGTGTATTTCTGTTAGTTTGGGTCTACAAGCTTGAAATTTAGCTTGTTATGGCGGGAATAGTGAGCTCTTTAAGTTTTTCTAAGTTCAAAAAGTAGGTTTAGATAGCCGTTTTAGAGATATTAAATGAAATATAAAAAAAAAGAGCCAAGAGGCCGTTTCTCGATAGTTTTAAAAGTTTTTAATTTAGTATTCTAGTATTATATGTATTTTTTGGTTAGGAATAAGTTTATTTAGTAGCAAGACTAAGGTTAACTTAGTAGAAAATAAAGTTATAAAGTATTTCAATTGGTGATCCACCAGTCAACCAGAGAATAATCTTAGTAAAAAGTGACTCAAATTACTTATAAAAATTGGGAGATCTTCAAATGTAGCGTGTGCGCATCTAAAACTTTTTTTATACTAAATTAATCACTTTTCTAACTTAAGAAACTTTTGTAGAGCTTGTCAAGACGCATCTAATGGTGGTTAGAGTGTCGAAATCGGCTTGGTGGGTGCCGAGATATCTTTTAAAAACGTTTCTTTTACTATTTAAACTTCTTTGCAAACAATACTATTGTTTGCAAAGAAGTTTACATAGTTAAAGAAACATTTTTTAAAGATATCTCAGTATCCACCAAGCCGATTTTGATGCTCTAACTACTATTAGATGCGTCTTGACAAGCTTTACAAAAGTTTCTTAAGTTAGAAAAGTGATTAACTTAGTATATAAAAAAGGTTTAGATATGTGCACGCCACATTTGGAGACCCTAATTTTTATAAGTAATTTGAGTCACATTTTACTATGATCATTCTCTGGTTAACTGGTGGATCACCAATTAAAATAATTGAGCTGGGGAAAATTTGTGTACAAGTGATAGACAGAAAGAGTTAATTTAATATTAAATAGTTTTAATAATATACACTTATTATTGTTTAATAGTTTTACTTATTTTTATTTACTCTAATCAATTTTGAATTAATGCAAATTAATTTACTAACCATAAATTTGGCATAAAATTTCGCTTTCTTTTTTGTAACTTTGTGAAATTTCTTATACTATATTTCATAATATCTTATATAATATTTCATAATTTAATATTTTACAAGGTTTCGAAATATCTTACATTATATTATGCCTTTTCTATAAATTGTAATTTATTATGTAATATTACACCCTATTAAATTTGCTGATAACTACAGCTTCTTGCTTTGTCTCTTACCACTTCTGAATATACTGTATACAGCTATCCTCCCAAACAAAATCCTAATACCACCTTATAGTTGTTGGTGCTACCTTGCCAATTGCGAATTTATACATATAGCCTTCTGCAGTAAACCTTCTATAACCTATGTCATACACAGTACCCAGTCTTCTCTGTGACTTGGGGCTCTTTTCAAGAATTCTTTATAGGCCTAATATGTACATCACATGGTCTTACTACTACAGGGTTTTATATTTAAAAGCTTCTAAAAGTTACAGAGATAATTAATTAAATTAACTACCACCAGCTATAATCGTACTATTGACCTTGTCTGTAGAGAATTAGGTGTCTAGACTACTAGGCTACAAGACCCTAACCCAAAAAGAACTAGTATTAATAAATAAGAATAAATAAGAAATATTTAAATAAATATTTAACTTTTTGCAGTAATAATAATTACAAATTAATTATTTGAATTGATACTTTTTAAGCCATCTGATCAGTAATTTATTTAAAATTTGTATTCAGCCAATAGGATCTTAGAGAATTAGTAAACCCCAAAATTTTGATCTGTCAGATCTGATCACTAAATCATGAGAATTTTGGCTATAAAAATTATACTTACAAAGTTGTTCTTCTTGAATAAATGCATTATATAATTAATTATTTATTTGTTTATTCTTTGTTTCTCTCTTTTATAATAGAAATATAATATTAACTACTGAATAAAATTTATCTGACTAATTAGCAACTCTTTAGACTAAATTTAACTTGAAGTCAATTCATTATAATAAATTTACTACATTAAAAATAGTTTGTTTCTTTTATATGTTTGTTTCATTTGCCTTTTAAGAGTTCTAAAAAGTGATATTAACTGAAAAATTAACTTTGAATAGCCTTAATATAAAATGAGAATACAAACAACAAATTGAGGACACTTATAGTTATTATTCTTATAAGAACAGTAATTAAGCCTGAAATTTTGAATACTAGTTACAAATTAATTAATCTATATTATAAAATATAATCAATTATATAAAATAAAAAATTACTTTTTTTTAGTAACTGTTTGTTTAAATAAATTGTAGTAACAAATAAACTAAAGCTTAATACAAATTTAACAAATTTATAATTTACAATTATAAAGTAGCTTTTTTATTATAAAAAACTATACAATAATTAGAGTTAAAGACAGTTTTGAGATTTTTTTATATTATATAATATAGATTAAATATAAAGTTCTAATTTATTTTTATAAAATTTTTAAACTAAACATATTTACTTAGTAAATTTTAAGATAAATATTTTATAATAATTACTACTAGTTATAGTTAGATTTATTCTTAAATTTTTATAAATATATTAAAAAATTATATAAAAACAACTTTTTTAAATGAAAACTTTTATAGTTAAAAAATATTTAATTTATAAATATATATTGTATACAGTAATACATATTTAATAAAATAATATAATATAAAATATAATATATATATATTTATACTTCACTACCATCTGACAAAGTATCACTACTATTTTCATTATAATTTTCTTCACTATATTCTTCTTCAGAATCTTTATTTTCTATAAATATAATAAACCTTATTAAAAAATAAAATTATTTAATAAATTTAATATTAATTTTAATATAAAAATCTACCTTGACTTTTATTTTTAAACCAATTAATTAGAGCTTTAATTTTTTTTGTTTCCACTATTAATAAAATTTTAAAAATATATTAAATAAAAATAAAAAATTATTTGTATAAATAAAAAAAACTAAATACCATGTCTACCATCAAAAAAATTTGTTGGTATGGGTAGATCAATAAAATTTTCGCCAATTATTTCAATTAGTTCTGAAACTCTTCGATGACATATATTTGAATATTTTTTAAAATATTTGGCCTCATCAGATTTTTGGTTTAATAAATAATTTTTTAGCAAGAAATATTCTCCTCTCTTTTGATTTACTTCTCCAATAGTGCATCCTTTTTGATTTGCAATTGTTTTTGGTTTTTGACGAAACCACTCTTCTAAATCTTTAACAAATTTTTTTTTGTTATTTGATTTATTGTAATCATTTTTTATTCCTTCCCAATCAAATTTTTTAGGTGGTTCTTTTTGAATTTCATTTTTGATCTTTATACATAATGTTACAGCAATATTCGACAAACCTTTCATCCATTCATTAATATCAAAGCTTTCTTCACACTTATCTGTAAACCATTAAGACCTAATTCTTTTTTCTTTCAAATTTTAAATTAATAAATAAATATGTAAATAAATAAATAAATAAAAATACTTAATATAAAACCAATTTAATATAATTCTAATATTTATTTATCTGACATTATTCAAATAATAATTTACTAATAATATAATACTATATAGTTACTAGGTGTGCAGCAAACAATAACTGCAGTTATTTGTCAAAATTTTGATGAATAATCAGTTGATAACCACGTAGTGGCCAATAACTATGCAAAATTAATCTATCAAAAATCTTGACAAATAATGTAATTATTCATAAAAGATTTGTTAGATACTAGTCGGCCATGATAGTAGCCAAATAACATCTAACATATCTTTGACAAATAATTCACTTACACGCCTAGTAATGATATTATCCTTCTGTATACAATGATCTTCATAAATTACTCTTATGTTATCCGGCAAACTCATATGATCATGAAAAATTTCTTCTTGTTATTTTTTTCATGTGTTACGATATTCAAAAAATAAAACTCAGCGAGCGACTCCTAATATTTAATAGAAAATCTTATTGGTTAATGTGTACATAATTTTATGAAAGACGATATACTTACGTACTGGTAATTTAATGTGAAAAAATAAGAATAAATACTTAGTAGAAATTCTATTTTAAATGTGTACAATATTTATAAGCGAGTATATTTACCTCCTGATAATTTTATAAGCAAAAAACAGAGAAGTAATATTTAATAGAGAATCTTAATGGTTAATGTGTACATAATTTATGAATAAGTTCATACTTACGTCCTGGTATTTAAAGTAAAAAAATAGAGAAGCAATACTTAGTAGAGAATTCTATTTTAAATGTGTACAATATTATAAGTGAGTATACTTACATCCTGGAAATTTATGTAAGAAAAAAAAAACCGAAAAGTAATAATTAATAGAAACTTCTATTGACTAAAAATGTACACATTATTTATGAATATCCTATATGTTTACGTCCTGGTAATTTTTATGTGAATGAAAAAATGGAGAAATAATATTTAATAGAGAATTCTATTGATGATAATGCGCTCATTATTTTATGATAATCTATATACTTACACACTGGTAATTTAAAGCAAAAGAGCAGAGAAGTAATATTTAATAGAGATTTCTATTGATGGTAAAATATTCTATGAATAAACTATATACTTACCCACTGGTAATTTAACAGGAGAAAAATATTTAATAGAGAATTCTTTCGACGATAAAATGTGTATAGTATTTATGAATACACATATACTTACTCACTGGTAATTTAAAGAGTATGAACAGAAAATATTTAATAGAAAATTCCATTGATGTTAATTTTTATTTTATAAATAAACTATATACTTACACTCTGGTAATTTAAAGTGAATGAACAGAAATATTTAATAAAAAATTCCGTTGATGATAATTTTTATTTTATGAATAAACAATAAACTATATACTTACACTCTGGTAATTTAAAGTGAATGAACAAAAAACATTTATTAGAGATTTCTATTGATGATAATTTCTAATTTAAGAATAAGCTATATACATACTCGCTGTTAATTCAAGTGGAAAGCATGAGATGTAATATTTAATAAAATTCTATTGACGATAAAATGTGTATATTATAAACTATATTGATATACTCACACTCTGGAAATTTAACACGTAAGTAAAGTAATATTTAATAGAGAATCCTATTGACAATAAATATGTACTTTATTTTATGAATAATTATGTACTTACTTCCTGTTAATTTCAAGTTAACGAATATTTAATAGAGAATTCTATTGACTATAAAACGTGTACATTAATTTATGAATAATCTATATACTTACGTACTAAAAACAAATAATATTTAATTGAGAGATAAAATGTGTACATTATTCTATGAATAAACTAAATACTTACTAACTGGTAATTTAAAGCAAAGAAAGAGAAGTAATATTTAATAGAAAATTATATTGATGATAAAATGTGTATATTATTTTATGAGTAAATTATTTACTTACATACTGGTAATTTAAAGTGAAAATAATAATAAAGTAATTTAATAGAGAATTCTATTGACGATAAAATGTGTACATTATTTTATGAATAAATTATACTCACAAGCTGGAAATTTAATGCATAAGTGAAGAACAGAGGAGTAATACTTAATAGAGGATTCTATTGAGGATAAATGTGCGTATTATTTTATGAATAAATTATACACTTACTTCCTGGTGATTTAACACGTAAGTGAAAGAGCAAAGAAGTAATATTTAATGGAGAATTCTATTGACGATAAAATGTGTACTTATTTTATGAATAAAACATATACTTACTCCCTAGTAATTTAAAGTGAAAAGCAAAATTTAATATTTAATAAAGAATTCTGGTGATTAGAAAATATACATAGTTTTGTGAATAAACTATATACTCACGTCCTAGTAATTTAATACGTAAGTGAAAAAGCAGAGAAGTACGTAATATTTAATATAGAATTCTATTGACAATATATTTTATGAATAAATTATATACTTACGCTCTGGTAATTGAAGTAAAGAACAGTGAATTAATATTTAATAGAGAATTTCATTGACTGTAAATGTGTACATTATTTTATGAATACACTATATACTTACAAACTGTAATTTAAAATGAAAGAACAGAAAAGTAATGTTTAATAATTTTATTACGGTACATATATGCATAATTTTATGAATATACTATATACTTACACTCTGTTAATTTAATGTTAAAGAACAGAGAAGTAATATTCAATAAAAAATCCTATTGCCGATAAAACGTGTACATTATTTTATATTCTTACTCTCTAATTTAATATGTAAGTGAAAGAACAGAGCAATATTTAATAAAGAATTCTATTGACGATAAAGTATGTACATTATTTAATGAATATACTTACTTTCTGGTAATATAAAATGAAGAACAAAAGAATATTCAATAGAGAATTCTAAAAACCATTAAATTTATACAATCCTGGTATGATTAATGAACTATACTTACGCGCGGGCATTCCCCAAATCTGCAGATTTTTGATACCATTGGAGAGCCTCATATTCGTCTTTTTCGACTCCAATTCCTTTTTTATAACAGTCAGCGACATTAACCATTCCATCAACATGACCTTGTTCAGCAGATTTCAAGAAACATTCGAATACTTTTTCTTTATCTTCATTTAAATAACGTTTTCCTTGTTCATATAAATTGTTTGCGTCTATAATGACCAATCATGATCACAAATTGCCGGATAACACCAATACTTATTGTGATCGGTAAATAAAAAAACAACTAAATTATTAATTAATACAGATCATAGTAGCTGAAAGATAATAATTCTTACTTTTATAATGCTAGATAGATAAACAGTTAGCAAAGTAAACATCAAAAATAAGCAACAACGATATTTAAAAATCTAAAAGCTAAAAAAAATTTGATAGCTGTAAATTTAAATTATAATAATTTATTAGGGTACATATCACTTCGTAGAAGTTAATTTCACAGACATCTTGTTTCACAGACAATCAGTTCTTAGACAGTTCATTTTATCAACAGTTTATTTTATAGACAATCTTTAATAGAAAATAATGAATCAGTGTTAAGATTTCCTACAAAATGAAATGTCTATGAAATGAACTGTCTGTAAATTAATTGTTTTTAAAATAAACTTCTCTACGTATTGATTGTCTGTGAAGCAAGGTGTCTGTGAAATAAACTTCTATGAGGTGATACGTACTCAGATCGGGGCACTGCTTATGGTAGCTATTATCAATATGTCACTCTTAGCTTATAAGTTATTAAAAAATGGGTGAGAGGTGCAGAATGCAGAACCAGGCTTCACTACAAGGTAAGCAATATTTTTTTAAAAAAATAACCTTTTCTATAACCTAATTGTATACTCAGAACGGGATCCGATCAATTCACCAACAATCACTTCGTAGACACCACATTTCTCATAGGCAGAACATTCGTATGATTGGCTGTTTAATCAATTTAATTTTACATTATTTATACAGTTTAAAATACTTTTAAAAGAAAGAAAGCTACGAAAAATAAACAAAAAAGAAGTATATAGAAAGTTTTATTAGTCTTGTAGGACTCCACTATTAAAAATAATCGGTTATTACTAACTTCTCTAAAACAAAAAAGAATTTTGATTATTTTTAATAGTGAAGTGCTACAACCCTAATAAAACTTTCTATATACTTCTTTTTTGTTTATTCTTTGTAGTTTTCTTTTTTAAAAAAAGTACTTTAAACTGGATAAATAATGTAAAATTAAATTGATTTAAACATCCAATCATACGAATGTCTGCCTATGACCACATTTCACTGACAATTACCAACAAGTTCATTTCACGGACAGTTTATTTCACCGAAGCTCATTATACAGACAAAGTAATTCTGGTCAATATCATTAGGGTTAGGTTAAAATTAGAGTTAAAGTTAGTGTAATTTATAAGGAAAACTTGTTGGTAAAATGAGCTTTGGTGAAATAGACTGTTGGTAAAATGAACTTGTTGGTGAATAATTGTCGGTGAAGTGTGGTGTCTATGATGTGATTGTTGGTGAAATAATACTGACCCACTGCCCTGGAATAATTTTAAATTGGCTTTATATTAGTTTTATAATATATATGTATAAACAAAATTACACTTACAAAATTTATTTTATTATCTTGTAATAAATTGACAATAATTTTGACAATATTTTTTGGCTAGAAAATTTAAATCTAACTTAGAATAGCGATAGCAACATTTAGTATTGCTTACATCATCAATAATTATTTTACTAGCTGCGCATTTCATTAGTTACAAGTATATATTTTTAGTAAATTGCTGCATAGCTAAATAAGCTATAATTATCGATTAAATAAGGTAAAACTAGCAATATTACCTCCTTAACTTCTTGTTCACGTTCAGTAATTTTTTGTTCAAGTGCTAAAATATTTTATTCAAGATTGCTAACTTTTTGTTTATATGAATCAATCTCTTGTTCAAGACTTAATATATGTTCATCATCTGTTTTATTACTTCTCAATGGGTACCGGTTTTTACTCATTTTCAAGACTTGTTTAAAGATCGATTTATGATAATATAGGAATCAAAAAATTTAGCTCCTATTTATATGCTGTTGATATATATTTTTTCAACATAAAAAATATATTCGTAATGAATATATGCGCAATATTAAAAAAAGCACCAAAATTTGGGGAAAGTTAAAATCACACTGATATTATTGCTGTTTCAAATTATTGCAAAATAAACAATTTATGATTTCTATAAATCCTGCATATTAACTTAGTACGTAAAAAAAACAATGGTAATAGGATTCATGGTACTCAAGAAATTCATTGTCACACTACAATTTTACCAGGAACGTAGTGGAACGGAGTGTATGGTTTAATTCATAATTTGTGCACGAACACAAAATATGAATTAGATAATACACTCCGTTCCACTACGTTCCTGGTATAAGTATGTGCATAATGCTATCGATATATCTATTTTCTACGCTATACAGTATCCGCTATTGATACAGATTTTTTTCGTTTTGGCTTGTGGAATCCTGCTTATTACTATTGTTTTAACAATAGCATTATGCAGGATTTATGGGATACAAAATTCATTAATTCTAAACAGCGCTAATACTGAAGAAATTGGGATTTTTTTTTTATCAATTTAAAGTATGGTTATTAATGTGTGCTGATATATTACGCATTTATATTACAATATGCGGTTGATCCAATATACAGAAATTCGATGTTGAAAGATATCGTTAATAAAAAGGGAAAATTCAAGTTTATTTTGAGTTTAATTTATATTACTTTCGAAAATAACTATATGCAAATAGCGCTGAATATTCAAACTTTATTGAATTGCTTTAGAGAGATATATAGCATATATCAGTGCATGTATAATTGAAAGAGATATATAGCACACACACATATGTGCAGTAAATATATTATTGAAAAAGAAATATAGCATAGAGATGGTGATCGGTGAAAATTTTCTAGACCACTACCATATAGAAACGCGCTACTTTAGCACAAATTGTCAATTTATTGATTGATGTATAATTGGTATTACGACGCATAAATGCGAGGCCAGTTGTCAGCCAGAAGTCTTGAAGTCACATAATCTTAGCGCAAGCTGGCTATAAACATAAACATAAATTTGGTTATATTAGTATTAGCGCCATAAACTCCCGAATAGTAATTTCATTAAACTTCTACTTATCTTTCTACCGGATTCTCCTGTTGGAATTGGGATCACCCATGTGATTGTTGTACTAACCCATTACTACTTAGCTGCTAACGCTAACGCTAACTGATAAATACCCAAAATGTGTTGTATATGATCATCTTTGCAATACTATGTAAGTGAGTGCCCATGCATTAATTTATCCACTCTGACCCTATGCCTTGGCGTTAAAATCTAAAATTGACATGCCAGCATGCATTAATGAGTAAATTTGAATTATGTAAACCAATGCCAAGGCATAATATCGGGTAGTGTCAATTATAGGTTTTAACGCCAAGCATAGGATATGGTTGTGTCAATTTTAGTTTTAACGCCAAGGCATAGGGTCAGAGTGGATAAATTTGAATGTAATAATGCATGGGACTCACTTATATAGTAGTGCAAAGATGATCAAACAACAAATTTATCAGTTAGCGCAACAATCACATGGGTGATCCCGATTCTAACAGGAGAATCCGGTATATGCAATGAGAAAGATAAGTTTAATGAAATTGCTTTTGTGAGTTTATAGCGCTAATAGTGGATGAATATTGGTTTTGATGGCATTCTGACAGTATTTTGCAGCGTTCTGTTAATATTCGGCTAGTTAGGTGGCCGAATATAGGAAAAATACTGGCAGAATGCTGTCAAAAGTCAATTACATTAAGCACATTCTATTTGTCCACGATCTTGAGTATCTTGCGCCATATTCGAATAATTCTTCCCAGGTCATACGAAACATTAATTTTATACATTAGATAATTAATTTGTCGAGATAATGCACATTAAAAATATTTTTTTTTTTAAATTTATTTGTAGTCATCCTCTTCTATAATCATGATGTGATTATAAAATTTTAATAGTAAAGTTATTTAATAAAAATTTTTAATAATCTTTCAAAAAATGGAGTGTAGAGGAGGATGACTGTATCAATAACAGATAATGTGTAACGCTGAAAATAAATAAATATCGATAGCATAAAATATTGCATTATGCACATACTTATTATTGAACTGATAGTCTAGATTTAAAGAAAGAAATATGAATATCTTTGTACTGTATAAAAATAATTAGAGTACAATGTACAACATATTGAATATGTAAAACTGCAAATTCCATTATGTCTTATTATATATTCTAAGTTTATTCTGTCGTTTGTTGTAGTTTCTAAGTTTTTGTCTTGCAATAGTTTCGAATTTGTGATCATTTAAAAGTTTTTGATAAATGGCCCCTAAATTCTTGTACTGTTTTGTTGCTTTAAGTTCTTTAACCTTATTATCAAAATCCATTTTCAAACGATCTTCATTAATCATTTCACTTTCAATTTATAGAATCGTTTTGTAAATATAATGTTCTCCAAAAAGATTAATCAGAATTTAAAACCTTTTATTGATGTTTTGAGCTTTGATTTTTGGTCATTAATTTAACTAGCAACAATACTAATAAATTCAAATAAAGATAATTAATTCAAAACAAATCTTAATAATTTTGTTAAAACAATTTCTTCAATGCTGAATGAAAAAAATATGAACTTTATATATGGTTGGGTGTCCAATGCAAGTATATATTCATTATTTAATAGTAAATCCAATGGATAATTAAATCGAAATTTCTAATTGTCAATTATACAATTCATAAATTGGAATATTATAATTGAAAGTTGAACTATCGAAATTATGTTTTAGCAAAATTATTAATTCTAAATAAATTAAACCCAAGTTTAATTCATTATCATATTCATCGGATTTATCAAAAAAATTCTTCCCAAACGTTCATTGTCCATATGGAGTTAAAAGACTCTTCAAATCAAAGGACTATCGCAAAATTCATTTACGCATATTATAAGTCAGCACGTTTACGTAACTTAAAATTATGAATTTCTTAATTATTAATAAACAAATAAACCCAATCAACCATATCGATACTGTATACTGTTTTTAGTCCTAAATAGTGCATTGCAAGCGAACAAATTTATGAACCATAGAATTCATGCACTACCCATGTGTTTAATAATAATGTAAAAAATCAACTAATTCATTTTATTATAATAATTAATACTGCGCTTCTATTAAAATCTCGATATCGCGAAGCTTAATTAAAATCTTGATAGTGAAGCCTAATTAAAATCTCGATATAGCGAAGTATTTGAAATCTTGATATACGGAGGCCTAATTAAAATCTTGATATGGCGAAGCTTAATTAAAATCTTGATATTGAGAAGGGAAGCATTATGTTTACCAGAGTTAATTAATTCTACCCAAGTTATGTTTACCAGAGTTACGAATCAATTCTACCAAAATTATGTTTGCCAGAGTTACGAATTGAATTCTACCAAAATTTGTTTACCAAAGTTACGAATTAAATTCTTTGTTTACCAGATTTACGAATGCCAAAACTATGCCAAATTATGTTCGCCAGAGTTACGGACATTATGTTTACCAAAATTACAAATTAATTTTTTTACGAATTAAATGTTTACCTAAGGTTGGCATTACATAGATTAGCATTTTACATTACTTTACATTAAATAGTGCATTGATACCAAAAAAATAATTATCGAAATTTTATCACATTCTTCTCGATCAGATTTATATTAAACTTTCTTTATTAGAAATTATGAAGATAAATGATGAGAGTATGCTCCGCTTCATCGCTTTCTCTTCTGCAATTTGCACATTGCGCTTGCATATTAAAATACGCATAGGAAATAATTATATAGAATTTTATAACAAACACCTAAAAAGACGCTTTTAATAGTCAAAACCAGGAATATTTCTCAATCAATATCCAATCCACATTATCGTCATTATCCGCATACCACGATAAATATGGCAATGACTCAGTCCTCTCAGAAATTTCAACTTCAAAGACATTTAAACCTTCAGAGTTATTAAATAATCTCAAATCCGGATTCCATAAAATAATTTGTTTAAATTGAAATTTACTAGCTTCTTGAATGGCTTGTTGGATTAATAAGCGTGTTGAATATGGTGAATCACAACGAAATCTGATAATGAACAATTTATTACCCCTAAAATCATGATTCCACATGATAAATCTTTCAAACAATTCTTCTTTCTCATTGTAAGATTCTTTTTTTTTATTCGAAATCATTGCACCAAATTGTCTTTGATCATTTGTAACCGCATAAAATTTCGAATAAAGGTTTGTTTTTTGAAACAACCAGTCAAATGCAGGTTTAGTGGTAATATAGCCTTACTTTTTAATTCAAATTTTTTAAATCCTTTTTAATAAATTCACTAATAATAGTTTCTAAGTTAGATTGATTAATTGCAACGATCAGTTCAGAATGTTTTAAAGACATAGAGAATCTATCAAATTTGATCTCTTTATGAGGAAAAATTCTCCAACCTAATATAGAGTAAAAATCAGAACCAACTTCAGAGTACAAGTATGAAAATTTGGCCTTGCATTCGAATCTCAACTTATGATTCAACAACTTCATCAACTTTGTAGCATAACCTTTGTGCCGATACTGAGCTGGAGTGAAAATAAAGTGATGTAATAACCGATTACTTCCTGAATTTGTCCGGATGATAATGTTATCAATGCTTAAAGTTTGTATGTTTCGCATTGTGAAAAGATTGTCGGTTCAGTATCTTTTGATAAAATGCATTTTTTTGAAACTAGAATCCAGACTTTAAATTTTCTAAAAAAATCCTGTTTACAAGAAATTGTATGATGATGATTGTCATTAAATTGGTCCAAGTTGTTTTTATCTTTCGACCCTATTTTACTTACTATTTTCATGTGATGTGATTGGCTAATTTGTGAGGGTTGATACTATGCATAAAAATCTAAGACCGAGAGTGCCATGTTTTTGTAAGATTCTGAAATTTAACGCGTAAATTATTTATCTCTTAATAATTATAGACGCATTTTTCTCCAAATAATTCACGCATAGAGATGCGAGCAACGTTCATTGTGATAATAATTTCACATATTTGCTTAATCTTAAAAAACCTTCATGTATAGAATTCCAAAATATTTTATTTTAATTGCTTCAAGAATCATTTAATTCCTTTTCTAAATTTATGTATACTATATACATTCACTCTATATATGGGGTAATGAAAAATAAAATTTTCCTTTTATATAAAAATTAATTCTTTATAAGGTCACATGACATAGTACACAAGTCTAATTGAAAAGTTACACTGACTTTCACGTAATAATTCTCGAAAAAGGACAATTTTGAAAAGAATATTCTTGATGTTTGATAATTCTATGCCAACAAGTTTAACCCACTCATAGTCAATGAAACTCAGTAAATAAGCCGATACTAGTAAAAACAATTCAATGTATAGCATGATATTTTAATGCCATATCATGATGCGTATGCAAATACTAATTTTCACGTAAGAACTCTGATTAATAGTACAAAAATATACTAACAAAGTTCAGCGTCCGTGAAATCTAAAATTGGACTAAATATTTAAATTAAAAAGAATTCCGATTTAAAGTTATTTTATAATGATGCGGCGTGAAGTTTTGTATTCTGGAATTACTTTGTTTCATAGAAATTCCAAACAAAAGACATTAAACACTACTAATATAACATGTTTGCCAAATGTTAATTTCTGTACTATTGAACTTTATTAACTTCCAAGTATATAAATTAAATTTAAATATCGGATAATAATATGTATAAGATATTGGTCATGCATCGACAAATAACGTGAAATTTGTTCAACCGGGCAAATGATTGGCTGACACGTGCCGCTTCGCGGCACGTGTCAGCCAATCATTTGCCCGGTTGAACAAATTTCACGTTATTTGTCGATGCATGACCAATATCTTAATTTAAAAATTATTCAAATAAAAGTTTAAAAACAAATATAATGAAATATATACTTACTTTCTAATAATCCATAGGAAATAGATATTACAAAGTTATAAATAGATCATTATGATAAAATTCAGAAAATGAAAATTTAAAACCAAATATACTAAAGTTTATACTTACTGGCTAATAATTCAATAAAATAAGATGTGCATTATATATTTATATTAAAATAAATTAAAAGCAAATACAAAATAAAGCATATATTTACCCTCTGATAGTTCAATAAAAGAAATATGGTTATAAATTTAAGATTAAATAAAATTTTTTAAAACAAATGTTATAAGGCCTATACTTACATTCTAAAAAATTTGACAGATGCATTTGTTAATATGTTTGTTAAAGAATTTTAAACAAATATAATATAGTCTATACTTACACGCTAATATTTTGACAGAGGCATTTGTTAAAATGCATCTTTAGTTTTATAACAAATATAATATAGCTTATACTTACTAGCTAAAAATTTAATAAAATAAAATATAAAGTTGTAAATAGAATGATTTAGGACGAATAAAAGTTTAAAATAAATATAATAAGTTTATATTAAATGAATAATTTAAAAATCAATAATAAATTGTGAGGGACCAACATGAGGTCAATTAGTATTTTTTATGATTACCAATCATTGGCGGACTTTAAATACTAATTGACCTCACGTTGGAACCAACTCCTCACAATTATTTAGAAATAAATATAAAAAAAGTATATTATACAAATTATAAAGTTATATATATCATTTAAGAAGCAAATGTACTAAAGCTTATAATTAATCGCCAATAATTTAATAAAAGAACTATACATTATAATGTTATAAATAACATAATTTAAGATCAAATAAAATTTAAAAACAATTTATAATAAAGCTTATACTTATCTGCAGAGACATTTGTCAAAATATTCATTAGGTACATATTTTAAGAAATTACCAATTATTTTAAAATAAAGCTTATACTTACATTAATAACAATTTGAAACAATTATAGAAACAATTATAGTAAATCTATGCTTACCATCTAATAATTCAATAAAAGACGACGTCAAAAATGTGAATTAAGGTTACAAACAATTTTGAGTATCATCAAATGATATTCTGGTACATAACAAAAGCAATAAAGCACATACTGTCTAATAATTCAATATAAAATACGTTATATAAATGAAATGTAATTAATTTCAAATTTTATGCTACATGTTAAAAAAAATAAACTATTAATAAAATAATAAATCAAATTAATTACCTTTTCTGAAAGACATTCGAGGCAGTTGTCAAGTAAGCACTTAAATTAACAATAATGAGAGCTAAAATGAAGTAATTTAATTTCATTGTGACAATTAATATTTTAGTGAAATGATAATTTAACACCTTTTCACCTTCAACGATTTCAAGTTGTATTTATAATATTTTTTGAAAAAAAATAATTTGTGAAACGAATGTCAAAGTAATAATTTTTAGAAAAACTTTAAGACTATCGCGCATGATAATTATTACTAGGAAAATCATTGTTAGATCCGGATAATTATCACCGGTTTATATCCGTTTAGTAATGTTATCTAAATAATTATCCGAATAACTGCCGGATTATCCGAATGCCCAATAGATTTATGACAGATTTAACTCTACATTTATGAGAGGCACATAGTACTGTAATTAAAATGTAATTCGCAAATTAGTTAGCTAATTCCGCAACTTTTTTGTTAAAATATTAATATTAAATGCCAATTTTAAACACTGGACGTAACTCGATCATCTCTAAGTTTTTTAATTTTAGGAAGAACTTTAGGCCGCGATTGTTGATCAAGGTAAGGATTTTTGATCTTTATTAGACTAAAAACTTCTCATTTTCTATTCTCTAGGATCATCGCGCTAATCATGCGTAGGTACGGAAAGTCGGGCCGGGCTCAAATTTTTTAGGCTTGTTATAAATCGGGCAAGCTTTCTTAAAATAACGCTCGTAGGCGTTATTTTGAAAATCGAATCCTTCAAAAATAGTTTATGTTGTCTCTGAATTAACGCGCATTAACATATAATCATTGTTGGAAAAGTTATACACAGCCGATCTTCCATAAGTGCATCCTTTATAAGTGCACTTCACACGCACTTTCTTTCCATAAGTGCACTTCACACGCACTTTCTTTCCATAAATACACATCATTTGATCCGTCTAATGTAATGTAACATTATATGGGTAGGGTGTTACAGAAAAGAGGGAAATCGACAAATTTCAATTTTTTTTTTATTTACACAAATCAATTTAGAATAAGACTAGACAAAATTGTCGATTTCCCCTTTCTGCCCATATGTAGATTACATTCCATATGTGCACATTTCATAAGTGCACTTTTTCCTAATTACAGAATTACATACATTTGTGGGGGACGTCTAAAGCGGAGTAGATTCTTATAATATATATTTATTGGATTAATTTTAGGATTAGAATCATCTTATATTAGGATTATATTAGGTTTTAAACAATTGTATATAAGAGAAATTGCCTTCCTGACATTTTTAATTAACTTACCCAAGGTATGTTTAGACTGCCGTTTTTTGTATTTTCAGGTTTTCACTTTTATTTATTGTCTTGCTTCGCCGGGGATCATAATTTAATTGGTCATATTTCACATGATTCTGCTCCGCTTTAGACGACCCCGCTATCTTATCGTGAGTTGCTGTAAAAATTCTGGTACAAAATACTAATGTATTATTTATATCCTAGTTAATAGTGTCAAAGACGCATAATGCATGAAAGTTGATTTTTAAAAGTCATAAATTGATGACAGCTGAGTTACGATATCATCATGCAGAAGACTGTGAATGTCAACAGTTAAGATAAAACTCTAATCCCTTGCTTTGCAATATCTCAATTTTAACGTATTGATGATACATTATGTCATTAATTATGAAAACATCGAAATGTTACTGATATTTTCGTGCAGATAATTGAAGATGTCAAAGAATAATTAGGTATGTTAATTGACTTTCTGGTAACTACTGATTCAATTACTATTCTAATGCCATAGATATAACCTGTAATCTATCAATTGTGTGCTTTACTATTTTATTATGACAATATCGGAAGTACTCATTTCACCAGAATCACTTCCCCGAGTTTATTTTACCGGCGATTAAATCACTGACAAGTTTATTTCACCGACGTTTTATTTCACTGACAATCATTTCACTAGAAAACTATTCTAGTCATTTTCGTTATGGTCAGGCTTATAATTGAAGGTTAGTGTGACTTATAAAAGGAATTTATCAGTGAAATGAGCTGTCGGCAAACTAATCATGTTGGTAAGCTAAATGTCGGTAAAATAATTGTCAGTGAATCAACTTGTCATCGAAATGATTGTCAGTGAAATGATATGGATCCATTTTTTTGTAAACACTACTTCACCGCCATGTTTATTTTACAACCAATAAATTCACAGATATTTTACCGACAAGTTCATTTCATAGACAGTTTTTTCACCGATAGCTCATTTCACAGAAAGTTTTTTCTTATAATTTATGCTAAACTTAATCCTAGTTCTAAACTAACACTAGTGACAATTACTAAGTTACTTTATCTATGAAATGAGCTATCGGTGAAAAATTGTCTACGAAATAAGCTTGTCAATAAAATAAACTTTCTATATAGTGAACTGTCTGTGAATTGATTGCCTGTAAAATCATCATGTCGGTCAGTGTCTATAAAATCTTAAGTTCACGCACTTTAACATCTTGATAT